GATTCTACAATTTTACTTATAGAAGCAGTCTTCCATGCTTTAGAAAGTTTATTTGTTACACATACATCTAATTCTTCTTTGGGGGTTTTATATTTTTAAATTGTTTTTGCTGTATAAACCAATTCCAAGAAGGAATATTTTCCTTAGCTTCTATCACATCTTCGTACCAGAGTTCTTTAATACGATCTCTCTCTAATTTAGAGAAATTTTCAAAGAACCATTTCTTTCTTATTGATTGGGAATTAAAGTCTAGCCTAATAAGGTCTTTATCTATTTGGAATTCTTCCTCAATTTCTGAAAGATTAATCTCAAAGTCTACCTCTGTTGGTACGTAGGACTTTACAAAGGGGATTTGATTTTGGGCTGTGTGATAAGCCGAGATGGTGCATCAACCATTGGTGTTTCATATGTAGCATATATTATACTTGGAGGGGGGTGAGGTGGTTTTGTTAGATCCACCAACCTTCTAGAATAAGAAGATCTTACTTTTAATGGTTCTATATATGAAGGTCTCAATGAAGTTGAGGCTGTTTAAACTGTAGCTCTACAGATCCGTCTTGCTCACTAAATGCCGAAGCTAATTTAGTGGATTCTATGGGTCCGGGAGGCTTAGAATTGGCTATTAGCCACCTGTCTAGCAACTTTATATCTTAACACAATTTGTCTAGGAATCGTGACATTATTCCTAGCATTTGTTTGGAACAAAGTTGTCATTCCTCTTGTTCCTATTATCCTAGTATTAGGGCAAATGGTGTTTATGGTCTTGAAGTAAATTTTGTAAACTAATGCTACATTTTTTGATCCTGGTTTGATTTCGTAACCCTGGGTTTGCAGCCTCAAGGTTAAGGCTTCCTGCATTCCGGGCCCGTTAGAGACACTATGAAATTAGGGAAGGCATTGAAATATATGGGTCCCTAACTAAGGCTATCCTCAACTACTCCTATTAAGGAATCACTGAATTTATTATGTCTAGAATGGAGTGGGGCTTGGATCAATGGATGAACGGCTCAATGGATCAATGGCTCTGATACCAAATGGAGTGGAGAGTGAGCAATAATGATTGGGCAATAATTGAGAACGACTAAGGGCTTTGATAATTGAAGGCTTATAGTAACAGTGTAGTATAATAACAAAGATTCAGACTGAGAGAGGTAATATGTTATGCATGAAAACAGCAAAACAATATAATTCGATTTCTTATTAAAGAAAGAACATACTAGGATTATAAGAAAAAAGAAGTTTACAAAAACATTCAACTTACAAAGCGAAAAGCATTTTGGAAGCACAATGGAAATACAACTTAACAATTACACTCATCAAACCTCACAAGAACTTTCACTCAGATGAAATACACTCAAACAAGAAAATGCTCACAAAACACTAAGAACACAAGACTACTCAGAAGGAAAACACCCTTAGAATGCAATTCTCAAACGTATCCATGGGATGAGAAGACGATCCTTATTTATAGGCAAGAGATCTGTTTCGAGAAATCTCTTTCAGATTCGATCTTATCTTGAAGGCATCTTTAATTGAGATGCTTGTCTTTTCTGCTTTTGTCCTTTTAGACAGGGTGATGAGCTAGAGATGCTTCTTTATTTCTTTACTTTGGGAAGATGCTTCTTTATCTTCAACTTTTGAGGTGGTGAATCTTACTGTTGAAGATAAGGGCGAACCTTTTTAAAGTGGACAGATGTTTATCAACAGTGAGATTCCTTTATAATTAAGGCCTTAATGGGGGTTGAGGGACCGAATGCTTTCGGTCTCGATGGCCTTAGAGATTCCCTTGCTTTTTTCTTTCATTTTTTCTGCGAACTGAAGGGACATCTCTTCGAGCTCGATGGGGTCTAGATCAAGAAACTTGGATCTGAGCTTTTTTTGATAAGATTCGAATAGCACCTGAAATACCTCATCTTATACTGGTTTTACTGTTGATGTGAGATCGAATTTATCCCACCATTTTATTTCCATAAATCTTTCATAGGTAGGGGCATCCATGAAACATCTAGATGATAGCTCCACTTTAGAATTCAAGGGAGACGGTAGGTTTTGAAGAACTCAAATTGTTTTACATGTTCGTGTTCCAAATAACTTCTTCCTTGGCCGAATTTAAAGTATTTGTCTAATAATTTTTGTTTGGGAAAAATATCATGTGAAGCTCCCCAAGTGGTCCACCAAACATATACCCATTCTGGATATGGGCCCTAAAATTCTTCAGAGAACTGAATGAACCACGAATGCCTGAATATAGAATTCTGAATTAAGAATACCCTACGCTAGGCATCTAGATAATCCCAATAGTTAAATGTTCTGGGTCCTCGGTTACCTTGGAAATGAATCGGGGCTTACTAATTTCACCCCATGATTCCTTGGTCATAAATTTGACTATTAGCTTGGAATAAGCTATCTCTGATTTACTGGAATCCCAATAATAATGTTGGATTCTAGAGGATCCTATATGAAGGAAGACTTCTTCATAGTACTTTTGGTCTTTGCTTGATCCACAGACCGTGAAATGATGACCTAAATATTCAGAGGCGACATGCTGGAGGGCTCCTTCGAGGTTGGCAAGAGAAGCTACCATTGATGCTTCTGCTTGGCTTATAGTTATCACATGATCTGTTGAATTTGTTATGTATTGGCTCAAATTAGCCTCATTGATTGCCAGAGAGGGTTCCCTAATTAAGGGAGAAATACTGAGGGACTGATTAGTCCTAGAAGAATTTGAGCCATAAGTTTGGGGGCTGGACTGATTAGTCCTTCTTTGGTGCCTCTGAGTAGGACTTTGGAGGGAGATCTTTGCAGCAGCAGCAGACCCTCCAACTCTCTCACGTTGTTGAACACCCCCTAAGTGAAGAGAGGATGCATCCCTATCAGTGGCTGTCCAAAGGAATACACATCCCTGAGAACAGCAATCATTTTGGGTACACGGTGTTTGAGAAACCTAGGCTGAATCTAAATGACTTTTGGATGCCTAGAAAGCTGGCAACTAAATCAACTCTCTCATATTTCCAGAAGCTGCATTTCCTAGAACAACTTGCCCAAAGAGCATACCTATGGTGTGTTCTCTAGAAACCAGTTGGAGGATTCAAGTGTCTCGGTCATTTGGGAAAATCCAATCCACCTAGAGATGAACTGAAGTGTTTGCATGACTTGTAGCATTAGATAGTACTCTTAATTTAGATCATTTAAAAGCAAGAGGTTTTC